CCCTATCACTGCTTGGGCTGTACAACAGGACTTGAGCAGAGGGGTTCTCCCTCTCAGTACGGTCAGTCCTGCCATCCCAAGGTTTACTTGGAAATCTCCCTTGTCCCACGTGGCCTGCTGTGCCTTGCTGGAAAGAAGTGATTTGGGAAGTGTCCTACTTCTCCCAAAGCTGAGGCGGGTGAAGGGGAAGAATCAGATGACAAGCTTTCATTGCCCAGGAAGACTTCTGGTGTCTGCTGGCTCCCTGGTTGTCTTATTTTGAATGTCTCTTCTCCAGCTCTACACTGGAACCCCAGTCGCTTTGGGCCTGTGGTGCTGGGTCCTCTTGATCCTTTATCCATAAACCACCCCAGAGTTTCTGCCCCTCCAATCTAGGCTGAGAGGAGCTGATGCTCAGACAGGGCCAGGGGCTCCGCAGAGAGCAAGGTAGTCTGAAGCCAAGCAGGGGCTGCAGCCTGAAAGCAAAGGTGAGAAGGGAGGCAGGCTGAAGCCTGGGAGCGGGTAAAGCCCAGACCAGAGAGAGGCAGGGCAGGAGGTTCCAGAGCAATGCAGCAAACAGGATCAGCGAGAGGAGCCCTGCTCAGGCTAGACAGACCGGCAGCCTGACTACGAGCTGGGCGCAGCAAAGCACCAGTGGCTGAACTCCAACCCTCCAAGCACCTCCCGAAATAGAGAATTAAGTCAAACATCAATTGTGGCAGGCAAGAGAGCAGGGCCAAAGTGGAGAAATGGGGTAGGGGGATGGGCAGTGTGCCCACCTGGGGCACCTCAGCCACCCCTGGGGGTACACTCTGTTAGCACAGTGAGTGGTTTCGGTTACAGCTAGGTGGCATGGCTGTGACTGGCATCAGTGCTGCCCTGAGCAAAGGTAGTCACTGCACTGTACAAGAAAGCCTGTGATGCCAGCCATGTCTCAGGGCTCAGATAAGGGACATGCTCATTATTCTGAGGAGCTGGCATGAGTACTGGCCAGGGCCTCACTTCATCGCTGACTCTTGGGTGAACTCAGAGCCTTCTGACAACAGCAGTGAGCTTTTCAGAAACATCTGCCCCGTGCCTTTCTAGGGGATCAGTGCAGGTTTCCATCGCCAAGCGTGAGAGTTAGGTTGATGAACGTTCCCATGGTTGGCAAAACCATGGTTGGTAAGACAGTGGTTGGCAGGCTGATGTTCAGCCATAGAAAACCATGGTCCCTCAAAACTGTATACCGCAGTAGCCAAAATGATATACAGAATATTAAGCATAGATACTCAAAACCATGGTTGGTAAAACTGTGGTTGGCCAGGGAAACCTCTACTTCTTTGCATTGTGAAGGGTGTGTAAAATAAAGGCCAGTGGAGTTGCTACCCCAGGCAGCTCTCATGCCTGTGCCAGAGCGGGGGCCAAGGGAACGTGTCCCAGATCTCTTGTAGATGGGTGTGAACAGGTCACTCACCCAGCTGCCTTATCAAGGCTGCTCAGTTTTGGGTTCAGTTTCCAGACAGTTTTATTTTCCTCAGGGCAACCTTGTCCCCACAGTCAACAAGAACAACAAAATGAGCAGGTGGGCAAACCACAAACCAAACCACACCAAAGCTTGGTCTTTCTGCAGAACTGGGGAGCAGCAATGCAAGCTCTGGGCTTCTTCCTCAGCACCACTGCCCCTCACTTCTCTCCCCCTTGCAGCCTGCTCCTGGTGCTGTTATCCCTCTCTGCAGTTCCCCCCTCACTTACCAAGCAGAAGTTGCTCCTGACTCCCAGCCTTAGGGCCAGGCCAACTATTAGCTGTTGCACATCTGCACCAGGGCTTTCAGGCTCCTGGAACTTGAACCCCTCAGAGTGCAGCGGGTTCCAAGCATTTGGGTTTGCAACAATAAAATATGTGGTTGCAAAGACCATCACAGCTAAAGGTGCTGTTACATGTTACCTTCAAGGCATTTACAATCTGTAGCATGTTTTGCCATCATAAACAGAACAGTTTCAGAGCAGTCCCAGGTTAAGGCTTAATGCCATCTCAGTCCTGCACAACTGTGACTCACTACTGGATGGCCTGGCAAGTAGGGCCATGGACAGGAGCCAGGACTTCCTCCTTCTGTCTCTCCCACCTCAGCCAAGGGATTGTGGCAGGTAGTTTGGAGGTAATGAAACCGCTACAGGGGCTGTGGCTTCCCTCACTCCACAGTTAGCAGGAGGCAGCAGGAGACACAGGCAGGAAGGAAAAAAACTTGTATGTAACCCTTGGAGCATGGTACTATCTGCAGCCATGTTCAATTTTTCAGGACCTGGGGTGCCTGGTAGCTCTACCTCCTGCTCATCTCACCTAGGAGCAGCCAGAGTCTCCCTGGGAGGAGAGGTTCCCTTTACAATGGAAAGACCTTGCAGACTCATAAATAACTATTTACAAAATTTAATTATATACAGGAGGTAATCACTACGTGCCAATGAACATTAAATAATATCAGAAGTTTGGAACTCTCTATTTACAACACACAAGGTTGAGTCAATACAAGAATAACACTTGATAGCTATTTACACAAAAAGGATGATCAAATCTATTAATACATAGCTAATGACTTAGGCACCATGTTAGATACTCATTATATGAATTCTCTAGTTAACTATTCACAATCAATAGCTAATCACCCCGACTTAAGCCCAACAAATGGAGGGAGGGGCAGTCGCTCACTCCTCACATCACATGCTTGCAGGCTCCAGCTGCCTCAGGATATCAGTGCAAGCCAAGGCATCTCATGGTCTGTAGAAACTGTTTCCACTCAAATTCCTGCAAAACACAAATTCTTCCCCATGCACCTCTGTGTGCTCTTCTCTGCATGGCCTCACCAAGCCCACAGAGCTATTTACATAGTTAAACACACAGGGCACGTCCGAACGTGTCTCTTGCCCGCCTCAAACTCCTTTGAGGTGGGGCAACGGGCATGTGTTGGAATGAAAAAATGCCCCCCCCTGCTTCTCAGGTAAGCAGAGCCTTTTTTTTCCCTTTTTTCTGTTCTTTTCCTAGGTTTTTTTTTTTTAAGTGATGGTGCCTGGGGTTGTGCTGACGGGGCTGGCCATGGGGGCCTGGGGGTGCAAGTTGGGGGGTGGGGCTCAGTGGGGCACCCATCGGGGGGGTCTGGGGGTGCGGAGGGTGGGCAGGGGTGGTAGCCCCTGCAGGGGCCATTTGGCCCCCATTGGGGGGATGTACCCCTTTTGTGGGAGCTGAACCCCCTTTTGGGGGGGGCAAACCCTTTGTGTGGGGGACGAACCCTTTGTGTGGGGGCTGAACTCCCTTTGGGGGGCTGAAGTCCCTGTTGGGGGCCAAACTCCTTGGGTGGGGGACGAACCCCCTTTTGGGGGGCCGTAGCCCTTGTGTGGGGGCCATCACCTTGTGGGAGGGCAGCAAAATATGTATTCTTGAATTCATGAAACCTGTATTTAGAGTTCACTTTATTATTGTGATAAGAGACTTGCTTTACCACTGCAGATATATCAATAAAACATTGCCCAACTGATCGCTGTCTCTGTCTTACTCTCTCTCTCTGTCTTTACAGTGGTCTTTTGTTTTACTTGTGGAGGAACGTGGATTTGGGGGTATTTTACAGAGTGACTTTGGGATTTTTTTTATCTGGGATTTTTCAGTTTTCCAATAGGGAACACCAGACTTCTTGCTAGGGGAAGCCAGTGGTAGGACTTTGCCTGCTCAGCACTAACACCTTGGACCCAGCTGGCTGCGGCTGACCTCCTGGACAAATGGGGCCAGGAGGACATGCTTTGACAGTTCAAAGCAGGCCACCACACCCAGAATATCTTCCAGGCGATAGCTGCCCAGATGGCCGGGCAGGGGGCACACATGGCAGTAGTGCAGCACAAAGGCCAACTCTGCAGCCACAGCCCACTGGCAGCTGGCCCACAGGGGCAGATGCCTCTACTGGCTGTGCAGTCCCCATCCAGGTCTGGCAGGTGCACAGCAGGTCACAGCCAGGCAGCAGCCCCCACTGCCAGACTGCTGCGGTGGGTAGAGGGTGCAGGGAACTCTCAGGGCTGCTGCAGCGTCCAGCTGGCACAAGGGGCAGTGTCCGCTGGTACCAATTGGCTGGGACCCAGAAGCTCCTGAGAGCTAGTAGCTCTGAGCTACTTGCCAGGGCGGCTTTTTATATTACTGGGGCCAGGACAGGGCAGCTTTTTATGCTGCTGGGGACAGCACAGGTGCTGGCCCCAGGCGCTAGCTCCCCCTGGCTGAAGATCCAGGAAGAATCAGGCAGGGTTATCTTGCCCCAAGTGGCACAGTTTGCTCCACAACAAAGTGCATGTGTGAGCACATTCGCTGAAGCAAAAAGCCCTGGCTCAAATTTTGCACCGCTTCTATTTGATGTGCTGCAAGTGCACATGCTTGCATGTGTGGACGTGCCCACAGAGGGAGAGCAAGCTGCGCCCAGCAGACCAGGCAGCACCTCTGGACTCACTTTCCTTAAGGCACTCAGGCACACTGAGGCTTCCCCTCAGGTCCTGCCTCCCTGGGTCTCAACCCACACGGGCATCCTGGGGACTTTCCCTAGCTGGCATCTCTTTGTGCCAAGCCGCCCAGTCCAGCCACAGTCCTTTCCCCATCCACTCACACAGGGGGTTTATCACACTGTTACCAACCCCCAAGTCTCCAAACCCAGCAGGGAATCACCTTCTTGCTATCTAGGGGCTTCCCAGGGCTGTGTCCCTACCCTAAGGAATTTGTTCAGCTCACATATGAACTTCACTTGCTCATCCTAGGCATCTGCTCTCTTTTGCTTGACCCTTAAGATGCTCTGCTGGCCTCTGGCCCACCCACGAGGCGTCCAGCAGGCAACCGCAGGGTGCAAACATGCTGAAGACTTTTCCCAGGCCTTCTCAACAGCACATGCATCTCTCTCTGCACCCTGGGGACAGGGAGATGTACTAGTTTTAAGGGGAGCCACCAGCCAATTCCCGGGCTGGAATTTTCCCAGGCTCCCAAACTGCTTTTTGAACCTTTCATCCCTTTGCTGGGGATAATAATTAAACTACAAGTATGGGGATAGTACTGAAATATCAGTATGGTGTCTCTGTTGGGACAGTCTCCTTCAAGTGCTGAGGCACAGAGCAGGAGGCTGGAGTGCATCACTCCCCGTGGGACATGCCCCTGCCCACCCCCCGTTTCAGTGGCACAGCCTGAGCTCAGCTCCATCGTCCCTCAGCCAGAACCAGGGATGGATTCTGTCCCCAGAGAATGAGGCCGGCGGGAAGGTGAAGATTGGGGCCTTGGTGTCAGCATCGAGAAATGACACTCGCCCCGCTGCACAGTCCAGACACACACGGATCCTGCTGGGGACCCGGCACAGGGACAGTGCAGTGGGCTTAGGGCAAGTGAGAGCCTGGACCTGACTACGTGAGCACTGCACAGCCCAGATCCCCCACTCTGGGCTCAAGTGGATGAGTCTCTTCCTCTTCACGGACTCTCTGGCGACCCCCACGGCCCAGAACGCCTCTTCCCCCACCTCCACCTCCACCTCCCAGCAGTGTCTTCCCGTGATGAATCCCTCACGGCCCAGCACATAGGAGTATGTATAAAATCTGTCAGGATTGTCAGGCAGACGCTGCCTTATGATCGTACATCTCACACTTCTCCCATCATCAGAAAGGAAAAGATGGGGATGAGCCGTGTCTGGATCCAGCGTCACCGTCACTGGGGAGAGAATCACCATGTCAGGGCAGAGCTCAGCAGGGGCCATTCCTCACCCTCCCCACCAGCCCCGTTCTGCCTCGTCCTGTCCTGGGCCCTGGCAGCTGCCTTGGCCCTGGTCCCCTGAGGCCGAGAAGAGACAGCCCTGCAGCTCCACAGCCTGGCACTGGGGAAAGGGGAGGACATGGCAGCAAATCCACAAGCCAAGGCAGGAAAATCCCAGCCCAACCCCCCAGGTCACAGCACAAGGAGTTCGGTGCTTGGCTGAGTGTTTCTCAGGGGAGGGGAGGGGAGGGGAGGGGAGGGGAGGGGAGCGCTGCATTGGTATTTTGTTGTGAAGACAATCCGATCTGCACTAGCACTTACCTTTCGGGTATGAGCCCTCCTTCAGATAAGACTGCAGAGTGTCTGGAAAAACAAAATGGTCAGCTTACTGGGTCAGCACCATAACCACTAGGCTACTGGGCTAAAATGTGTAGATTGGGAGACTTCATCTGGGCTTTAAGTATTGAATAAATGCTTAACTACATTTATATGGAGCCACAGAGCTGACTAGATAGTGTACAGTCTCCTGGGTAGGCATAGTAGCTGTGTGAAGGGTGGGATGAGATTGCAAACGTGCCTAAATGTCAAAACTGACCCTTGTGTGCCCAGGTACATGCCATTTGGAGGGCAGATTGACACAGGATTTTCACTGCCAAGAGCTTGTCTTCTCCCCACACACAGAGGCATTTCCCTTTTATCTCCCAACTTTCCCCCTCAGTACCTTGAAATAGGCTAATCATCTCCCTTAGGTTTAGTCCATTGAAGCTCTTGAGTCTTGTTTGCAGCTCAGGGGAAATCCCCGCTGGTAGCTGGAACTGCCCCTTCTTGCACCTGGGAAAAACAATTCAGTGTCATTCTCTTTTCCTTTGGTAACTCAGCTTCGTGGTATCAGCTTTGAATAGCTGGACAGACCTGGGGACTGATTCTCTCTGTCCCCCACCCTCAGGGGCAGTGCAGTCAGTAACAGCACCCTTCATTGCCAGGATTCAGGTTTTCCAGCACAGAACTGTCCATATCCTTCCCACCCCAGAGTTTGTATAAAATGACCTCAGGATTGAATGCCATCAAAGATGTGTGTCCTAGCAGTGATCCTGCCCTGCATGTGATGCTGTGGTGCCCCATGGAGATGTGACCATATCACAGTATCAGGCCCTTGCCTGCCCTTCGGAGTGAGGAGGAGCCACGTACCTGCTCAACGTGCTTCTGATGTCCTGGAGGGGAGAAAGAAAAAGGGAAGAGGGAGCTCAGTGCCACCTGCCTCAATCAGGTTCTAAGGGCAGGTGAACTTTCTGACTGCATGCGACACACCAGCATCTACTTTGGGGTGGGGAAAATACAGCCCACAGGCCACATCCATACTATCAGGCACTTTCATCTGGCCTGGACACCTACCAAGGAGTTGTGCTCCACTCAGTCCTTCCATCCACAAGGGTGAGAGCAAGGTGCCCATGTGTACACACATCCCGAAACATGCCCTATTGCATCTTGCTCCCACCCTTGTGGGCTGAAGGGCCCAGCCCCTCCAGCCGACAGCTTCTGGGTGAGGCTGCTGCCACTGTTGCAGCTCCTGGGGACCTGTTCCATGTCCCCAGGCTCTCGCTAGCTGCAGGCACCAGGTAGGGAAGCCAGCAGCGAGGGTAGGGCTGCAGCCAGGTAAGAACATGGAGTGTGAGGCTAGGCTGGCAGCAGCACTGAGCCCATGCCCAGGAGGGCAGGAGCAGCACAGATCTTGGATGGGCAGTGTGTGGGTTTGAGGGATGGTGGGGGTGGGGGGACCCGCCCACACTCCCCCCATGATACACAGCCCTGGCAGGTGGTGCCAGTGGCAGCAGCAGCAGCAGGTGCAGCGCTTGGGGCTCTGGTGCCTGGTGGGGCATAGCTATGGCCAGTGCTGCACATCACAGCAAGAAGCACAGGCTCTGTGGGGCCATCTGTGTCCCTGGTGCCTCCTGCACTCACACGGCGCTGGAGCTGGTTGCCATCCCTGCCCCACAGGGGAAAGCACCTGGGGCGTCCCTCTCCTACAGGGCTGCTCCTGCAGGGAAGGCAGCCAGCTCCAGCTCCCCACATATACACAACTCCCAACATACCCTATGCCCCACACGCGACCCACACCCCTCACAACCTCCCCACCCTCCCACACCCTACATACACACACACATACACACGCACCCCACCATACACACAGACTGTACACAAGACTAAGAATTTATTTTTAAGTTACTATGCAAACCTCTCTGTATACACTATGCAAATACACATCATGACCAGAATAGTTTTTGTAATAAAATTAAAATATGTTGTAGTAGGTGCCTGACTTTTGGTGTATGATTTGGTGGGTTTTTTTGGTTCTAAGATGGAAAGCCCCCATCTCGAAAGGAGAATTTCTGGGGGGGGCAAGAGGAGGGAATTCTGGTGGCAAAGGTCAGGGGTCAGGGGGTGGGACTTCTGGTCCTAAGATGGCGACCAGGGGGCGGGACAGCTGTCAAGGTGCAGGGCTATTCATGGGGCCTCACCTGCAGGAGGTCCACTGGTGGCTGCTGGCACTTGTCCTCCATCTCCCTGATCAGGCTGTCCAGACAGGAGATCTCCTGAGACAGTTTGGTGACAGTTTCCTCCTGAATCACCTCAATCTCCCTCTCCAGCTCTGCCAGCCGGGCCAGCTGGAGTTGTTTCTGCTGCTCGATGAACTGGTGCAGTCGCTGTGATTCAGACACAATCTTCTGCCTCGCAGCCTTTGTCTTTTCCTGCAGTGAGCAGTCGGAAACCAGGGAGGGGAGATCAGGATGCTTAGGGAGAGTCAGGCGCCACAGTGAGACTGACAATGGGAAGAGTTAGTCCCCTGGAGCTCCCGTGGTCTTGAAAAGATGCTCTGGCCTTGCAGCACCTCTGCTCCTAGACCTCTCTGATTGCAATTTCAGGCACCCTGCCTGGTTTCTGTGCACTTACTTCACCTTAGGAAGGGGTTTTTTTTTACAGCTTTGAGGGCTTATATCTGACACGAGAGAAGTCAATTGCTCTAACCATGCACACCAACACAGTCAAAAACCAACACACGTTTCACCAAATGCACAGAAGAGGAGACATCCCCACCTCCCCCTCCCCAGGGAGGGTGAGTGACCAGGAACACTGACCTGATATTCCTGGTGTTTCTGACTCTCACTCACTCTCTGGGCTTCAAGCCTTTTTCTCTCTTTCCTTAGACTCTCCAGTTCAGGCTGGATTTGCTCCTGAGGGAAGGAAAATGCCTTGGGTGAGTTTTCCTTTGGGGATGGAGAGACGGGTATGTTTTCGCCACACACAACCAAGGTGCCTTCCCTGCTGTGATTTCAAAGACTGGCACATTGTTATTAGCCAGCGCGCATATGTCCTGTCCTGGGGACCCTGCTGAATGAAGTGAGTGCCAGACACTGGTGGTGCCAGTTACCAGACACTGCTCCATCTTCCAGATCCCCAGATCCTGCTGCCTGGGGAATCCAGGGCGAGTAAATAACAAAGGGCAGCATCAGCACTTGTAGGTGTAGGGTCCCACATGCAGCAGCAGCTACAGCAAGCAGTGTCCTACAAAGTTGAGATCGTTCCCACCAACAGGTGTACGCAGATGGGGGCTGCTGATGCCAGCACAACACTAGATTGAGGTGTGTTTGCTTCTGGAAGTGGGGAAGGGAAGGACATGTTATGCCTTGTGGCTCCATAGTGGTGTGGAGATGAGATCAGCTCAGGAGAGAGAGCGCACAACACAGCTCACAGGGCTGGCAACTTTATTCTTCTGAACAGAAAACACAACTGAAGCAAATGTGGTCCTTAAGCAGGCACACAATATAGCAACATGTAAAGAAACAGTGCCATTTATAATGGCTAATGCACAGTTCATCACAGGACACAGCGCTGAATACATCTAAATCACTGTGAACTCTGATCCACAGCCTTGGAGACCCGAGGAACCTTGGATTGAATTAAAATAAAATAAAAGCAGGTCCCTAACAACTCTCCTGGCTTTACAACCAGCCAGGGAGGCCTGGGAATTCCTGTGTTATTAAAACAAGCTGTCCTTTTGTTTAAGACAATCCCAAAGAAATATCAACAGTCTGATGTCCAAACTTGTATCCCCTGAAATCGCACATTTGAAAATTCTCTATTTGCCTCATACAGACTTCCAGGGAGAGGAGAACCCCGTCCTAACGTACAGAAAAGAGTGGTGGATTCAGAGGCATAACACGCTCTTTCAGCTCCCATGCTAGGTGCCAGAGGAGGGGGAATTTTGCTGCCCACAGCAGAGATGGGCATCTGTGGATGGGGAGAGTGCAGGGAGAGGGAGAAACATCTGATCTACCTGGGCTCTCCCCACCTGAGCGGCAGCTACAACTGGGGCTGCTTGTCTCTTAGCAGCATGGGCTTGGGGCTGAGCTGAAGAAGAGGCAGTGGCATGGGCTCCCCAGGAGGATGGTCCTGGTACCCCATTCACCCTGTCCTATACCCTGGAGAAATGTTGCTCATCCCACAGCAAAGCCTGTGTGGGGAAGAGGGGAGATTGGTGCCTTTCTCACCCAATCCTTGTTACACTACCCATGTAGATGAGGGAATTATGGAGAAAAGCCAAAAAACACACATTGAATTGTTAGTCCAAAACCCTTCATAAGGAGCGATGCAGAGATAGGCTGGGAACTCCCTGTAGATGTACCCTAATGAAGGAAGAAGGGAGAGGGAAACATCTCTAGTGCTATATATCTTAGCTTGCTAGAGCATGCTTGTAATTCTTTATCATGTTCTTATAGAGCCCAAAGATAACTGCCCTGCCATCCAGCCATGACAGGAAATTGCCAATATTAACTATTTAACCAGAGATGAAAAAAGTAGAAAGCTACATGTCATAGGCAGCGGGAGAAAAGATTTTTTTTTTGCGGGGGGGGCTGAGTGTGTGCATGCATGCATTCATGCCTCCCCCAGTAGGAAAGTCTGCAGGGGGTGAGGAAACGGTTGAGGGGCAGGCAGGAAGTGAGGATGGGACCAGACAGGGATCAGGAGGGAGCAGAGCAGAGATGGCCCCAGGATTGTGATCAGGGCTGGGGCCCGATGTGCCCATGTGGCCTCCCCTTCCCCGTGCCTGGGGTCCTTGCCTGGCACCAGTGGCCCCCGCAAAACCAGAGGCCCTCAGCCCCGCACCGGCCTTAGCTGCCTCCCCGTACCAGCCCTGGCTCCTGCACCGTCTAGGGGGGCCTGGAGCCAGGGGCTGGAGCAGGGACAGCCTCAGCTGCACCATCAGGTTGGAGGGGACGGAGCGCCTGGAACCCCTGTACCCACCTCGCTCTGCCCCGCTGTGCTCCAAGCCATTCCCAGGAAGAGCCCAGCGCAACCCGGTGACTCCTCAAAGGAGCTGCAGCGAGGCATGGAGGCAGGGAGCAGGCAGAGCCCAGTTCACAGCTACAGCCCGTTCCTGCAGATCAGGGGTTGGGGGGCATGTGCCCCCCCTTTGGCTTCCCAGCAGTGCACTTCTAAGGGAGCTGTGAATGGGGCCCCAGCTGAGCCAGGTCATGGGACAACCCCCATAGTGCACCAGGGAGCAGAGCAAGGGCAGGGGTGAATGATTCACCCCTGCCCCTACCCAACTCCCTCTTGCACTGCGGCAATCTCGATATGACCCCCTTTCCCCCCACCCCCCAAGCCCAGGCAGTCATAAAGAAAGAAGATTGAAAGAAACTTACCCTCTGCAGCCGGGATCACAGCCGGCTCAGCAGGCAGGTATCTCAGTGTGCACACCCCTTCCCCCTGCTGCAGCAGCCTGCGGCCAGGCTGCCCTACAACCATACCTGCTGCCTTGCCTTTGGAGGGGTTGAGTTTGTAAGGCCTCCCTTCCACTGCCTATGGTAGATGGAGGAAGAACCTGTAGGACACATCTGGTGTTGTACCCTCTCCCTATGGAAATGATGGCTCAGGTCCTCCAGGAGCCAACAAAGTGCTGCCTGTGCTGACTGCTCTGCCTGAATTGTGCCTGCAGAAAATGAGTGGTGATAGCTTCTTTGTAGCTGGGCCCTGGGCCTTGACCCTGTTGGCCCATTCATCAGTTTGCCTCTGGTGGTAGTCAAGGCCCTTCATTCTCAGAGCCCTGTGCCCTGCCATCTCTGGGCTACCCCATGGTCTCTATAGCCCTGATTTGGCAACAGTTCTGGTTTTAGTTCATCCTCTAAAGGGAGGAACATGGACCTCCAGGGACCCCTCTGTGTCCTCTGCAGGGTAGTGCTCCAGGACAGGACAGTCCTAGGGTCCAGACAGTCCTGTGCTAGCCCAGAGGGTCTCACAGGATACAGCAGGATTGTTGCTGGAATCAGTCTCTTCTGGGGGAGGGGGAGAAGCTGGGATACCTGGAAGTGCACGTGGCTGTGGAGGGCTGAGAAAGTCTGGCCCAGAGGGAATGGTTTGAAGTAGCTGAAAATGGAGTGCTTCCTACCTTGTATTTCTGGGCAGCCTCCTCAATGAGCAGCACTGAGTGAGACCTGTGCTCTGGAGATCTCTCACAAACCACACACACGGCCACCCCATCCTCCCAACAGAACAAGTTGAGCTCCTTCTTGTGTTTCACACACAGATCTACAACTCCAGGAACTAACTGCAATTGTTTAATGCTATCTACTAGATTTCCCAGCTGCCAGTTTGGATGGAGATTCCCTTTCTGGAACCTGGCTCTGCAGACAGGACACTCCAAAGGTCCATGTTGTTCCCAAGTCTCACAGTAGTCATTGATACACGCTTGGCAGAAGTTGTGCCCACACTCGAGTGTCACTGGGTTGGTCAGATGCTCCAGGCAGATGGGACACTTGATTTCCTCTTGGATGCCCTGCCCTGGTCTTGCTGTGGCCATGGCCAAGCACTGTTCTCAGGGCACTTCCGGTCACTCCTGTCTATTCTGTACAGGGAGAGAAAAACATGCAAATATATAAAGTTTAGTGCAAGCCATATAGGGAAGGAGATGGAAAGGCAGGGAGAAAGCAGGGTATGAAGGGAGGCCAGTCTGGGAGGGGAATACTTATGCTGCACAAGCAAAGAGAAGGGGAATCCCAGGTCTGTGGTTACAATCAGTGTCTCTATTAGGACTGTGTGAAGCGGTTAGTATTCGCTTTGGATTTGGCCAATTTGGGAGACAGTGATTTGGTTCGGTGATTCAAATCACTGTCCCAAATCAATTTGGCCGAATCTGATTCTGAGATTCTGCTGCTGCTGAGTCTCCGAATCACCCAGGCCAGGCCCGGCCCATCGCCCACCGCTCCCAGCCTGGCAAGGGCTGCCCTGCCTTCCCCAGCTCCCGGCACTTTGAAAACAAAGCCCCAACTCACCGGTGCTGCTGGGCAGAGAGAGGGGGGTGAGCCCCGCTCCCTCCCACTGCCCCCCACAGCTCTGCACAAACTCCCCAACCCCCCCTGCTCCCCCAGTCCCCCACCATGGCTGCCCCACCCGCCCCA